AATACATATCGTCTGGGTTTAATGAATGTACCAAATGTCATATTAAACGCATTTACAAAAAAAATTATGAATGTTATGATAAGATTATTGATTCTAAGGTTTCAATAACTTAAACATGTCTTTGGTAAAACCAGAAAACATGTCATATATTTATATAATCTGCTTTACTATGAAGTGACTGAATTCCTTCCAATACTTTAAAGTTATAAGAGACAAGACTTTTTATCTCGCTCCGTCAGTAACACATTAGGAATCAATATAACTTGAGCCTTTAACTATTTTAATATGCAAACATATGCACAAAACATTAGATTAAAATAATAAAATAATAATACTACACATAGTATCAGGAATCTTTTGGTACACACGGCTTGGTGTTTGTTCCGCGGAGTCGGCAGCGTCACTCGTTATATAATATTTTATCTATACAACCCCAGCAGTGTTCATTTATTTTTCATAAGTAGCGCGTACCTAACAAGTTTATAATTATTTCAATTTTGTAATAATAAATTTATAGAAACTAAACCTAATAACTAAAAGGTATGAATAGTAAATTCTACAAGTACCTCCCAAAACAACCGCCTTCACTCTATAAGCAAAATAAATAATTCCAAACTTATAAATAAGAGTTGTTAAACAGATTATGTTAATAAACACACTCAAAATATAATTCTATATCATTTTGTAAAAAGATGCCTATCAATAAAAATTCACAACACATAAAAAAAGAGTATTGCTATAAATTTATTGTCATTGTACGTTTATTTGTGACTACAGACTTCAAAGGTACTGGATTTATTAATAAGATACAATTAAATTTGTCACTGTTAAAATGAAGATTTCTACTCTATTGTATAGAAATAGGTATTTAAATTGTTTAATTAATTTCTTAAACGTCTCTTATCAAGTCGGATGATTAATGATTCTTTCTATTCGGATGGAAATATATAAAATCTTTTAGAAACGTATTGAAGATTGATAAAGGCTTAAACAGATATTAAAAGAGACGTGAAAGCTGTACAGAGAATATTATACTTCCAAAACCTTTTTAGGGATTAAATTTGAATTATCGATACAATAGATTTTTCCCCCATATGATTTTGTGTTCTTTAGGTTGAAATACGAGGAAGTTATCATCATAATACGTCAATGATGGGTTACCGAAGGTATTTTTAATAAATTTATCAATTAACTATACTACTAACTTCTGAGTTAGGTGCTGTATTGTTTTTCTTATACAACAGTTTTCTAATATCTTTTATTATCACGCTAACTTTTTTGATCAACAAAAAATATATTTGAGCTCAAATTTACCATTCATAAAGCTAGTCTCTATCAAAAATTCTGTTCACAAGTAATAGATCGGCTAATATTTTCTATAACTTAATATATTGTTTTATGGCTTGCCTTTACTCATTTATATTGTATTAAATACTTATTATTTTAATCTAATGTTTTGTGCATATGTATGCATATTAAAATAGTTAAAGGCTCAAGTTATATTGATTCCTAATGTGTTACTGATTGAGCTATGGAATTGGATTGCTACCCTAACATCAGGGCAATCATGTAGTCTTAGTTATAGGCTATAAGTTTTAATATGTAATTCTTATTAAAATATATACATATAAGTAAGTATCGTAGTTTTTCTGGAACCTCTGGTAATCACCCTTCTTCATCGACATAACAAGTAGTCATTTGTCATAAAAGAAACAAAATATATTATAACTACAAAATAAATGGCATCAGAACTCCCGAAGATCATTTATTATAAGATGTAACACACGAACTTAAAATCGATTTGAAAATATTAATAGTAACATATTGAAGTAACAACGAGATAAATATTATGTATGAACGAGTGGCTTTCACACAAAGTGTATGTGGATATCCTGTATCTAATATTGAACGGATTAAGATATTACACTCAGTATATGTTCGCAGTTTGTAGATATTTGCAGGTACAATTTTCAAGCCACTATTTTGTGATTGCTTTAAATAAGAGAATTTAAAACGATGCATTTATAAAGAAAAACATTGTTTTTCTATCGATTGAAGTTGTAGTTAAATATTACCATTATAATTTTTATGTCATTTTTATGTCCTCGTCAAACTTTTTTCTGTAAACTATGGTCTCAGCTAGTTAAAGAAAAGTAATATATATTTTTTGACGTGTTATTGTTTCTAGAAAAAAGTAAGGTAACATTGTACATAGAAAAAAGAAATAGAAGATGGAATTAAGGAGAAATGGAAAATAAATAAACTTTTAAATTCCTTTCTTTGGTTACAAAGCAACGACAGTTTAATTTCTTTTAATTTAGTTCCTTAAAAAAACCTTAAAAGACAAAATTGTTTAATACATTTGTGAACAATCGTATTTTATATAAATTTTCAGCATAATATTTCGATTTATGTTTATGCCACTTGAAGTATCATTGTATTATTTTTAAGATACAAAAACATAATGAATTGTATTGCATGCTTTAAATGAATGTACTTCTCACATATTGAAAAGAGCGAGATTCATTTAAAATAAATCTGGGGATTACAAACTATTGTGTGTTTTTATACGAGTTACATGACAGATTAGGTAAAATGTTTGTTGTAAAATTTTTCATCACATTTTCCTATTACATTTTTGATAAGGAACATAGCATCTGCAATTGTATTACAAAAACAGATTTTCCTTGAAGTTATAACTGATTTAAGCCGAATATTATTTTACAGACATGTTATTAATTAAACAATATAATGTACTGACTATTGAATTACTGAAATTTGAAATAACTTCTCTTCATAATAATGTTGAACATATGAGATGTTTTAAGCAAATAAATTATGAATTTTATAAAATTGTTTGGTTTACAAAAAAAATATGTAACATTAACACTGCCGGGTTTAAACTTTAGTTATACACGTGTTTACGTATTGAACCTTAGAAATACGTAGTAATGCTAGTATTTAAACAACTTATACACTTCAAAGAACAATAGTTGTTACTGATACGTAAAGTTTTTGTTACAATAATTTTAATTGGTAATTTTTAAACTTTCCTAATTTATACGTTAGATAAAAAAAGTACGATAAAAATTAAGAATTTTATATTGATTCTTGGAAGTTTTGTGTGCGAAATCAATCCAGAAAATAACATAGTTAAGGAGACTATAATTTCGAATACAAACTCACATATTCGATAAGAGTGTAGCAAACAAGTTTATAAATTAAATCGAGAACTTCATATGTTGCGGAATCAAGCGTGATTGTGCTCTGTAAATATGGATACCAAGTTTTGGTGGGGTTGTTTTGGCATTGGATAAAATTAAATCTATTTTATAATATTATTTTATGAAACAAAAACGAATATAATAATTTAAATATTATTCATTTCTTTTTATTTGCCCATTAATCAATTATATTTTGTAAACGAGTAAACTGTATAAAAGATTTCTTCATACCTTCATTTATATAAGAGTATATTGAAAAAGATTTTGTTTAAATGGCTATGTAGTATTTAATTTACTCTAAGGAACCATCACAAGTTTTTCCTTTCATTCGCACAATCAACACATATTCAAACATCGGGTACAAACTTATAAACTTTATTACAGTCTGTTGTAACGATCCGTGATACATTTTAAATGAATTATATTTTTGTTTTACTAAACTTACTCTCATACGGTGAAGGAAAACATCGTGAGGAAACCTGGAATTATAATTTCACAATTATAAGTTTGAAATCACCAACCCGTCTTGAGCAAGCGTGGTGATTAATGCTCAAACCTTCTTCATGTAAGAAGATGCCTTTGCTCAGCAGTTGGCTCTGAAAGGCCGATGACACACACACACACACACACACACACACACACACACACAAACACACACAAATTTACTCTCATATTTCAACCGAAATAGCATAAACTTAATAAGTAATGGCGCTAATTTATTATTTATTCAAAACTTCTAAAATACATATCCGATAATTCTAAATTCTTTAAATTTAAGAAATTGCTTCTTTTATAAAATTTTTATAATGAGACGAAACCTTTTAGCATTCAATGGATTCATCGTGCGGTGAATAAAAATATTTGCGGTAAAATATTTGTATATGTCTTGACCTTTAACAGTCAAAGCCAGTATCTATAGAAAAGACTAAGAGGCAACTTTACTATATCATTGTGTTTCTGATATTTAAAAGGTTATATATTAATATGGCCAATATTTGAAAAACTATAAATCATATTTCTTGGAATAGAATAAAGATCTAAGAAGCTTATTTCACAATAACATATTCAAAAAGGAACTGATGTCAAATAATTTATTATCGTAATGTAAGAGATAACAATATATATTCTTTTATCTGAATTATGATTTGGTTTCAAAAATGAAGATCTCTTCGATCTTAATGACGTCAAAAACAAACGAAATTAAACACAAATACGCAGATGAAACTGTGAATAAGATGTAACTGTGTATATTGCAAAAGTCAGATTAAGAAAAATTATTCTTTGTCAAGACCTAATCATATATATTGGAAAACAATTAATTAAATTTTCTTCGATTGAACATTCATAGACATCCAAAGCATATTTATTGTAATAAATTAAGATGTCAAATAATTTAAAATTCGTCTCCAAGACAAAATAGTTTCTTGTTTTAGAGTATAAATATGATTTTCAGTATAAACAAATATCGGTTCGAAGTTAAAGCAAATTAGCTTCAACTTTTAAAATTGTTGCTTTAGGTTTCCAAGTTTTATATCGTGCCTTTTAACTTTATGTATTTGGAGCCAAAAGTCATGTGTTTTTCCAACTCCAACTACATGAATACAAATATTTACTTACACATATTATATAGATACATAGAAATATTGAAATGAAATTTGAATTCCTTACCATACAAATAAATCAATAAAACAAAAATCTTATACAAATAATAAATATAATATGATTTTATTTACAAATATAACAATTTATCGTCTGTGAGCTGTTGTTTTTTTACGTTTATAGTGTTATTATTCTATTTTTCACTGGTCTTACAATTTTCGAATAACTTGTTTTCACAGCCCCTACTATTGGTTTATATTTTCCTGCCCACATCGGTTTCGTTGTGTATATAATCTTTTGTTTTTCTGTCGTAGTGACGTCATTCGAATAATGATTCATTCCGACATCATTGGCGTGTTTTCTTAATATCATCTCGAAACTCGATAGCTTCATGTTCTTCTTTTTCAATGGTACTTTATATTTTTTTGATTTGTTCTTATTGACGAAACTTTTGTGTTGAGTTTTGTGCTTGTTTTTAATTACGGTATCTACTTTGACTTTATAAATGACTGAGAGGTTCTGTTTTGCTGCTAATTCATCGATTTCTAGTATATTTTTGTTGAAAGTTGCGAGAGCGTTTTCTCCTTTCACTTCGAACTGCTTTGGTATTGAAGTGAGGTGGCCCATTTGTGTTCTGAGTTGGTATTTGTGTCGCTCTGAAATAACAAAAGTCGATAAGATTACTTAATCTTACAATTTTTCTTCGCCACTGGCTTTTATTACACTTTTAAATCGTAGTTATTTTATTATCATGGAAATAAAATAACAAACAAATATAAATAATTGATGTTATTGTTTCTAATTCAACTAAATCGTAAAGTTAAAGAATCTAAATTTTAAGTATTACACTTTCGTAAATATTTTAAGTCTCCTTCCACCGTTATTCTAATCTGGTATATTTTTATATCATAAGTATAATATCCAAATATAAACATTTAATTAAGCTATGAACAGTCAATATTGGGCCTTACCTTCATAATAATCCTGTCCAGAAGCCCATCCAATAAACCCGAAAAGTATATATATATACACCGCAAAATTGCTTTGTCCAGGACCCATATTGACACAATATCTAACAAATATCCTCGCTGCACGAAGATTTATAATCACAGGTGCCTTAAATTGCTCCAAAAAAAGTAAATAAAAATAACAATACCATTTGTTTCATTGAAGGTTAATTGCCCTTTTAATTGTTTTAGAATTGCAGGTGCGTTTGATATTGACTAATGTGATTGAATATTTGAACAGCTGAGTCGTTTGGTGAACTGGATTCCTAAACCAAAAAGTTAGTCTCTGTGGTAAATTAAAAAAATATTGTACTAAATATCATCAGATTTAAAGGTAAATAAATTAATATTTTATATAGAATATCTTATGTTTATTAATAACTTAAATATGTAATAAAAGATGTTGGTGATTGAGATACTATTTTTTTTAATTATCAGTCTATGAGTCTCGGAAGAGTATATAAATGCACTTTAGATTTCATTTCAAGCACTTATTTATATCTATATAAAACTGGATAACAACACCTAGCCATATAATAGCAGTTTTTTAAAGACAATATGTATTTGTTTATTGCTGGATATTGTAAGCATAACACAGTGGAAGTAATCTTTTACATTTTTCACCATTTATCTAATCGTTGTGTCTTTGTCAGTGAGTGTGACCTTCAAAAAACTTTAATGGGACTTTAACTAGATATATTTGTTTTTAGGAAAACGTAGTATAGACGAAATTATGTTTTAATATTTTACGAATAAAGAGCATTCATAGCAAAATTAAACATTTTAATATCTCAACATAAATGCAACCCAGAAGTTAAGTTGTTAATGAATTTTAATTATATGGAGTGCTTTAGGAAAATGTCATGGAAATTTATTGAAGATACCATTTCCTAGATCAAAAACGAATTAAGTCTTGATTATAGTATTTCAAAAATTACGACCTCGTCTAACAATTATAATTTTAATAATAATGATACCAATAAAAGTTATTAGTTAAATCATATTACAATTAATCACAGTCGGATTGCTTCATTAGCCGTTCATAAATATTTAGACAATTTCACTTAAAGCTGCTTCCGATTTAATTTGGCAAGAGACTGGGCTATAAATTACTATTGCTACTTAACCGCAGACACCATTGATTAACGGCTTTAAAGGCTTCCAGATCACGTTATTTGCGCTCTTATTTACATGCAATTAAAGAGGATATTCCAATGTTATTAATACAGACTTTTCAGCCAATTAGCCGTCAAGCCTAAACGGACCGTACCCGTTCACTAATTACTGCGACAACATTCATTAATTAAAACTTGCGAATTAGGGATTACCATATCATTATAGTTCTTCTTGATTTTTGATTTGTAATAAAAAATATCAAATAAATTACCCATCGAAATTTTAATTTCATTGATCAGAAATTGATATATTCATCAGTGTTAACTTAAACAGATCGTTAATATTTTATTATGTATAGATTAGCCTTTTCGTTAATAAACAAAAACATATTCCGTTACTGGATTTTATATCCTAACTTGATATGCAATTTCATTAATTAATTATTTGCTTTGTGTATAAAGTATGTTTTTTTGTAATAATTTTGTTCATTGCTATTCATTTCATTATATGTTATTTAGAACTGAAACTGAATTAATCAAAATTGTAAGTACGTATGATTTCGTAGTTTCCCTTTTTTACATACTAAAACATTTTCTATTAACAGGTTTTGAAATCCCATAAATATAAAAATAGTCAAAAATGAATTTACTATGAATTATCTATCTCTATAAAAGTATGAATAAAAATAATAATATAACATAAATTAAAAAGAACTATTAGAAATTAATCGATAAAATGACTTTAGATTATCTCTCATCTTATAAAACCCTACGTTTTTATATTTCTAAAACTTTATTCTCCGTTTTGGTTGTCATGTTTTCATCCTTTCGAGTCATCTGAACACGAGAGGCGAGCGTGTCAGAGGTCAATTTATACCCTGGTAATATGAACGTGTTAAATTAAAGTGCTCAAAATATTACACGAGAGCATTTCGCCGGCACAAATATTAAACAGGCAGTTGATAATTTAGTGTGTTTTATACAGTGGATAATATTTTTAATTATATATTTTGTACAATTAAGAATTCTGTTTTTGTAACACAGGGGTCAAATATTTATAAATTGGTAGGATTTAATGCTAGATCAATTCTCGGTAACACAAAAAATGTGTGATCTATTTTATAAATAATTTTTTAAAGTGAAAGGCTTTTTTAAAGTGAAAGTGTGTTAGATTTTATTTTAAATAAGTTGTTTGAAATATTATTCATAAATAACTCTGCTCAAGTATTTTACTTTCTACAAGGAGTGCGTAAAATTCTACTCCCACAATTTTTGTGTTCCACTACATTTGATATCGTAAACGAGTAACAATGCATTTGCATATTCTTAAAATTTCTATTTATATGTTTATAAATACGAAAAGTAACGTGCAATTAAAACTATAGACAATATTAAAAACATAATAATGGAACGGAGATAAATTTAACACAATAGAAACAAATATAATATCAAATGCAAATTGTTTTTAGTTTATTCCTTTAAAAATAAGTTTTTTTTTTTCAGAAATTATTATGGAAATAAATAATTTGTTTCAAGTAGAAGGAAAAGTGTTATTATTTCATTGTTAAAAATAAATGTTATTTGCAAAATGACCAACTATTTTACATATCTAAATCATAACCAGCAAACTTTTACATAACGTTTCAAGGAAAGGTAATATTAGTTCAAGGAATAATATTCTTATCGCATCTTTTTTCAGTTCTTATCTACTTAATATCTAAAGCAGAATTTATTCATAACTTACTCTTTTATGTATTGATCAACAAAGTATAATCAAAATCGTTGTAGGTTTGAAAAAAAAAATCGCAATTTTTAATGATTTCGTATTTTTTCTGATGTCCTTTTAGTTAAAGAAATCAGCTTGGATGGGATAACTTTAGTTTATAACCAATATATTATGTTATAGATTAATTATACATACTGATAAAAAATAAACATAAGGTCCCTTTGTACAAATAAGGGATTTGCTTGCACGATATCAATAAAGAAATTATTACTAGAATGTAAGGTATTTGTGATCTCTTCGTTACTGATACTAAGAAGATTATGTTATAATTGAGATTATTCATCTACAAGTAAGGCTCTTGAAAAGAGATAAATACTCGTCTATGTACATACATTATTATGTATGTACATAGAAGAGTGTTTAGTATACGACTTTAGTATTCTAAAGCACATTTCGGAACACTACATTATATAATTCCTTGTATATAATATACTTAACACATGAACAATTTGAAAATATCCTTTCACGCTTTCGTGATTCGGTTAAAACGGTCCAAGAAAACAGTAATGTATGCTACAATATGAGATTTCAGACTGAAAAGGTTTACATTTATTCGAATAAATCAGTCACAGTAAATACAATATGGCACTTAAATATACATTTCACGCGTTCATAAAACATTTTTCCTCTCTGAAAATTCGAAAGGAATTAATTTGATCTACATTACTTTGTAAATGATCAAACGTGTATATAAATACTTCTTACAATTTACTCATAAAAGAACCTTTGAAAACAACATATATCTTTCCATAATAAATGAGAAGATGTACGTATATGTAAAATGTATAGCTAGAGGCTGTGGATGAAAAAACAACCACAAAGTGAAATCTGAATCACGGCGCGCCAAAAGATTCCCTCGTTCATAATGAAATGTCGAAATTCACACACAGTTGGCGCCTTTACGTCAAAGAATAATTTATAGAAGACCCTTTCCCATATACCCACTGCGATAAGAATGTCTTATACTTACACTAAGCATGTGACAGTTCGGAAACACAAAAGATCTCTAGTGTTCCATTACTGGAAAGTGTAGATAAGAGTTGCGTTTAAAGTGTTTGTTGTTTTAAAATCATCAGCTTTGAGGTAAAGAGATTTAAAAAAAAACGGGAAAAAAGATATGAACTCGTTTAAGTATGTAATATTAACTATTCGTATTCTGATATCTACATCAATTTATTTTATTTCATATGTATAAAATCATAGAGTATATTATTACAATTATTATAAAATACAAACAAAATGTTTCGTATTCTTTGCACGTTTTTAATAGAATACCATCCTTAACCTTAGATTTATTCTTAGAGCATAAATTGACGAGACAAATTCCCCCTCAAGTGATTTAATGCTTGTGGCTTCTGAAGCGTTGCTCTTGCTTTACGTGAATACTGTTAAGTTATAGCAAACTTAAAGGTTTTGACATGATAAGTGCATCGATATTTTGAATTTATTTTTTAGAAATATCTCCGTAAAATGACTGAGACTAGTTGTTTAAAGCGATAATATTTTTAATGTATTTTGTCGACAGATTTTTATAATAAAAACAAATGGTTCCGCCTTTTTGATCGAGTGAAGATTATTGAAATTAAATTATGAATAAACTAATATCAATAGGAAAAATATTATCAAATTACATGGTTTTTCGTATGGAAAAAATTGGTAGTGAAACTTTGATAGAAACTTAGTAATAAATACTTCAAAATAGTATAGCAAAAATTGTTTAAGCTGAATACTTTGTAACACTCCCTAATCTTGAGCAGTCTTTGTGATTACCTAAGTTTAATTGGAACGGTCTAAAGAATGAAACCAATAACAAAACATAATTTATGAATTATTGTTTTGAAATAGAAAATATATTATGAATAAAATATAAGATTTATGCAATTTTGAACCTTTAATAATAAAGTAGCATAATACTTATTTTAACTATTGTCAGAGAGAAAACAGACTTCAAATGCTGATATTAATTTCAAATGTCAATTTTTTATGAAGTAAAAAAGTCACATTGGGCATTTATTGATAGGATTCTAACACTTCGAAGTCTATTAAAATTGTGTTCAAGACTTTACGACTTCGGGTTGGACTCATGTTATTAATCGTAGTCACAAACTGAAATTCACCAAAGTTCTAAAATCACTCAATTGGTGTTAAGCC